AGGCATGAGGACCAGAAACTAGAAGCATTTGGCTGGTTAAGCTCTTAGCTGGTTAAGCTTCAGGCTTTCGAACAGCAGTTCAGCTGAGAGCCATTGGAATGAGAACACAGAAGCTTCCAGTCTGAGGAAACAGGATCAGCTAAGGAACTGTCGAGGTGAGGAAGCTGTGGCTTGTTCTGCTTCTCTGATCTTCCAGCATTCACCCCATTAACTGGCCTCAGGTTCGTTTTTATTAATAAGACCCTCTAAGACTCATGCTACAGATGAACCTAGAGTCTTTAACACATGAACCTTTAACAGACATTCAAAATCCAAACTACAGCTAGTACAAATTATATCTGGGACCAGAAAGAATTCGAATGATGCGGTCAGACCTACAACACAGGTCAGTCAGCTCACTGTGGTTTTACTTATCCTGTGGTAGTATTGACTATATTTACACTATTGAAAAACTTTAGACCCTCATTTATCAAGTTCTAATAGGCTTTTCCTGTACTTCAGCTGTCCTCAGCAAATGGCTCTAAGTTGATTAGCAACCTCTTAAACCTGTGTTGCTGTTTTGTTTTCCCCTGTCCTCTCCAGCTGGATTCTAATTTCCCTGAGGGTAGATGTTGTGTGACTTTTCCTGGAAAGACATGAACTATTTACCCAAGATGGGCACCAACAACAGACAAATAGTTCCACCCAAGTCTAGTTTAGTGAACCAGTGAGGTTTGGGGAGTTGCTTACATGAGCGTGGGTGACTCAGAGGCAGCTGCATCCCCAGGGCTGCCTGTCTCAAGTACAGGCAGCTGAGCTGGCCAGAGCTCCTCTCGAAGTAATTATCACTGCTGGTATAATGGTGGTGGGGGGGGGGGGGTGTGCAAGCGTGCATGATGGGGGGTGCTTGCAAATCTTGGACATTTCAGAGTTCTCTGAGCCTTATACATTGGATTTTCTTCCTGAAGCTTATGAACCTTCCCATCTTGCCTTCTAGAAAGAATGTTTTGATTTAGAGGAAAGAGCCACACAACAACAGGGCTTATTTTCATGGAGCTAAAGAAGAAGATTTTCCACTGTACCTAACACAATGTAGTAAGAAATGGAAAAGGGCTGAAGAACATGGTGTCCTGTGCCTTTACTCCCAGCATTCTGGAGGTAGAAGCAAGTGGATCTATGTGAGTTTGAGGCTAGCCTGGTCTACAGAATGAGTTGCAGGCCAGCCAGGGCTACACAGTGAAACCCTGTCTCAAAAAAAGAGAAGAAAAACAGAAGCCATAGCAAAACAAGAAGGGAACTCAATTGAAAGGGATTTAGCTTCATGTACTACATAATCTTCTGCTGTGGGGATGTCATTCTGTATGCTGTGAATATGTGTTGCTCTGATTGGTTGATAAATAAAATGCTGATTGGCCAGCAGCCAGGCAGAAAATATAGGCAGGGCAAGAGACAAGGAGAATTCTGGGAAGAGGAAGGCTGAGTCAGGAGTCACCAGCCAGACACAGAGGAAGCAAGATGTGAAGGCAGAAACTGAGAAAAGGTACCAAGCCAGGTGGCTAAACATAGGTAAGAATTATGGGTTAATTTAAGTGTAACAGCTAGTCAGTAATAAGCCTGAGCTAATAGCTGAATGGTTATAATATTAAGCCTCTGTGTGATTATTTTGTAAGCAGGCCATGGACTGTGGAGGTCTGGCAGGACCAGAGAAACTTTCCAACTACAATCTTCCACACCTCCATCAGCTCCTCACTCATTCCCCTTTCAAATAAGGCACAGTGTCCTTAACATCTTTTAATAGAAAATCTTTTTAGCAACATCTGACTTGGTGCCAAATAACATGTTGCTTTAAACTTCTGATAAAGGACAGGATGATGTGTGATTTTGCTCTTGCTCCCTCCCCACACCTCTGTGGAGGATAAAAGCCAGGGTATCTCCAATGCTCCTCAAGACGAATTGACTTGGCCTTCAAAGAGTCAAATGCTGTTTTGTTAGCTGACTGCCGTATGTTGAAGGATAAAGAGGCTAAACAGACAAAACACAGGAAACGCCTGAAAGCAGCTACGTTTCAGGTAGAAATATAAACATCCAAACCGCATCCATTGTCTGTTAGGTCCTCACAGACGACCACAACCCTCTTTTTCTCCTAGAGAGACCTTCCCCAGCTCTTTTGACCATGAAAGGCTCTCAAGGTTATTGGTTCAGACACATGCTAACATTTGTTCCAGCTGCTTAAAGGCTAACAACTGAGGGAAATCTCCACCCAGGTTTGACGCCTAAAAAATGAAGTGGTTGCTTCCTTCCCTCCCACAGGCCCGCTTGTGCCAGGTTGCTGCCATATTTATTTCTCTCACCAAGCTGTCTGTTGTGCCAGAATGGGCTGAGGCTGGCAGGAGGTCCCTCCTCTGCAGCATCTTTTCTCTACACCAACACTGATCTCTTCATCTCATTTGTTTCGGAATGGATGCTGCCCAGACTGGGAGCTCCCGAGCAAGCATTGTGATCAGGGAAGGCTTCCTGTGGTTTCATTCATTCCTTAAACTTAGCACTAGAGTAGAGGGCTGCATTTGGTTGCTGACTGAATATCCAGGTGTCAGCTTTGAGCTACAAGGAGTCTACAGTGTTTGGGGAAGAAATGGGAATAAATACATGGTGGCAAAATAGTGTGAGGACTGCTGTGCAGGAGGTTAAGAACAGAGCTTCTGGGCTAAGGTGTGAGGCCAGCCTGAGTGATGACAATGTCCACAGAAGAAACCTGCCCACTAAGGTAAGCTGGAGGACAACTGGCTTGTCTAGAGTGCAGGATGGTAGAAAGAGAATGGCTAAAGGTTCTGTTGGGGGTGGGGTGGGGTGACAAAAAGGAGCATGTGTCTAAAAATCTCATAGATCCTTCCCAATGGAAGAGTCATGAAAGATGTTTTTAATAATATAAAGATGCATTTATTTTTATTTAGGTATATGAGTATTTGTCTACATGTATGTCTGCACACCACATGCACGCCTGGTACCCAACAGAGGCCAGAAGAAGGTGTCAGATTCCCTACAACTGCAGTTACAATTGGTGGTAAGCCACCATATGAGTGCTGGGAACTGAACACGGGTCCTCTGCTAAAGTACCATGTACTGAGCCCCCTCTCCAGCCCCTAAATTAAATTTTTTTTAAAGATTTATTTATTATGTATACAGTGTTCTGCCTGCATGCCAGAAGAGGGCACCAGATCTCATTACAGATGGTTGGGAGCCACCATGTGGTTGCTGGGAATTGAACTCAGGACCTCTGGAAGAACAGCCAGTGCTCTTAACCGCTGAGGCATCTCTCCAGCCCCCAAATTAAGTAATTTTTAAAAGGTGACTTCACAAAGGAGAAAGACACAGTGAGAGGTATAATAAGCCCCACAAAGAAATAATAAGGATCAGGACAAAGAGTGTAATAGTGGGATAAGAATGAGATATACTTAAGAAATACGAGAGACAATATGGACAGAGCACAGTGACTAGGAAGATGGGAGATCAAAAATGCAACCACCAGTGAGTGACAGGTTTCAAGCCTAGCATGGTATAGTCACTGCCTGACACAGAGATTGTGGAGAGTTCAGGAAGGGGTTCGTTGCTGGGAACAATAAGCTTGGGATTTCCACACAATGCCCCAAGGCTATCCAATACACAATTATACACACAGGCCTTGAGTTCAAGAGCGAGTTAGATACTAGATAAGTAAGTTTAGGAACCCTGAGTACAACAGAAGCTGAAACCACAGGACTATACAAACGTCTCTCTCTGTCTCTCTCTGTCTCTGTCTCTGTGTGTGTATGTGTGTGTATGTGTGTGTGTGTGTGTGTGTGTGTGTGTGTGTGTGTGTGTGTGTGTGTGTCTTTCTCTCTGTCTCTGAGCCTAGGAATAATGGAAGAGATTAGAAAATCAAAATCAGATTCAACCTAGCTCTGGCTGATGTCTAACACTCTACAATATAACCCAACTGGAATAAGAAGAGCCCTGCTAATTTTTATTTTGAACCAATCTAATGAGCTATGAATGTGGTGACATTAAGGATGGAAATGGACAGGTCACCTTGATACCAAATATAGCCTCATAGGATTAAAGGCTCCAGGAGAGGGTATTTTCAGCAGTTTTGTTCAAAAGGGGCCATTGACTAACAGGTACCACTACTGACAGAGTTAGCACTCATTCCCACAGCTGTTCCTGGGCACTTGTGGAATTTAGATGACATAATACATTCATATAAATGCTCATGATGGAAAGGACACTTATAATCCATGTATGACCTAAACTGAGCATTGTAGATTTAATGAGAAGCCCAGACAGTTAGACCTTCCCTTGGGATCTTAGGATTCCCTAAGGTCACTTACCCTGGTTTGATCAAAGTAGAGTCTTAGTGGGTGCTCTCAGTCATTATCTTCTGATGCTCAAAACTCTGGAACTTGATCCTTTCCAAGCCTTCCAGAGTGTTCTGAACAAGTCCCTTGGCCGTGTTCAAACAGCATCTACCTGGTATTAATCAGGACTCTTCAGGTTGCAAGTGATAGACTTCAATTGAAACCATCTGAGTTTAATTCAAACCATCTGTAAGAATCCTCACTTTAGAGGCTCGCTCTGTCCCAGTCTCTACCTTCCTCTGCTCTTGGCTTCCATCTGGCAGGATTTGGACTGGTTGGTTGCCTCCACAGAGCAGTAAACCGTCTCTCAGGTTTAACCTCGGACTTGTTTCCTCCCAAGTTCAAAATGCTTAAGAAAATTATCAGATTGGTTCAGCCTAGGAAGAAACGTGTCTTCCCACAAGCACACATTCTGTGGGGGAAGAAATGGTATTCCCCACTCTGCACCTTTTTAAAGAGGACAAAATAGACTTTGCCCACAGCGGTTTTCCCTCTGATACTCGGGTTTCCACAAGTCTTCAGGCTTGCTATGAGAGGAACTTGTGTTTTCAAGCTTCCTGCATTGTGATTCTGCTCAGGTGAGCCTCGCGCACAGCCAAGTCACTGAACACCGCTGGCTTCACTTCACAGGTCAGAATGCACCTTCACCCCCGCCTTGTTGACGCGCTGTTGTTGCAAGAAGCTTTTGCATCTCTCGGGCTGGCGCTGCCTGCAGCTTCTCGGCAACACAGCTGCTTCAGGAACACCTGTGAAAGCTCCTTGACTGCTGCTGACCTAGAAAAACCACAGAGGAGCTGGGGAAAAGTCAGAGTTCAGGTAAGCAGCAACATCAAGTGGAGTGACCATTTTCACTGCCGGTTTACAAGACTACAAGAAGAGCGTTTGGTGGGCTCACGGAAGACAAAATCACCATGTTTTTTTTGTGCTAATTCTCACTTCCAGAAAACCTATTTAGAGACATATGGCAATTTAAGAAAGCAGGAAACCACAGAACCTGACATTCTTGGAGCAACAAATAAGAGCTCCTTAAAAGTTAACAAGGCACAGACGTGTGTGGATCCTGTCACGTGAAGTTAGCAGTACTTCGTGATTTGGCTCTGCCGGATAGTAATACGCCAGAATGGAGCCAACGTGGAGCTTAGTCTCGTCTACAGTTCCCTGTTCAGAGAATCGAAAACAGCCACAGTGTAATCTAGTTCGGGAATATTTCTAATGGACCATTTGAATGGATTGGTGGTTAGTTTTTGTCTCTTGACTAAGACATGAGACTGATAAAGATTTGGAAAATGCAATCATCCCCAAGACCACATGTCAAAGGCTGCATTCAGAAATAACTATGTTGTGATATGTGTTCATTATTTCAGTTCATTAAAATTTTTCTAGCTGGGGATGGTGAGATGGTTCATGGGTAAAGGTGACTGTCATCAAACCTGAGGTCTGAGTTTTATCCCAGGATGCACTTGGGAGAAAAAGAGAACCGACTCCCATGAGTCTCTGACCTCTGACCTCCACAAGCTCACTGTGTGGCGACCAGGCCCAAATACCTCTCAAACAAAATAAATAAATGTCTTTAAAAATAGTTGACAGCTATTTCTTCATTGTACACATTGAAAGCATCCCTTTCAATTATAATTTCTTTTCCATTTTTATTTTCTTGGTTATATGGCCTCTCTACTAGACGGAACAAACAAAACAAAGAATTATGTTTTTGTAACTTAGTTTCTAGTGCTGAACCTTATACTAGTAAATATTCATTCATAAACTGAACATGCATAGTAGTTATGCTTCCTTTAAATGGGGAACTATTAGACTTCTATTTTTCAGCATGAGAAACCATTTTTCATGTATATTACCACTAGGTGGCTCAAATAGCTAAAACACCAGTTCCATATAATAGCAAGGGGGAAAAAAACCTTAAATGTTGAAAGATTTATCTTTTTCTATCGTCATATATTTTATACTTTAATTTTCTACAAACTTTTATATTATTTATAGATTATCGCTGTAATACTACACACGGTGACAATTACTTTAATGTAGGTCATCATCATGTGTGCCATTTTTATGAAGGAGAGGAGATTGATGGAGAAAATAAATGAGTTATGTTACAATTTGTCATAAAAATGCAATAATAAAATAAATTAAAATTTTACCGGATGACTGCAAACAGTATTCAATGGAGTCTGAGGAGTTGGAGGCTTCGGCTGTTTTTCATCCTAATGTATCCAGGCACTTCTAGAGATTGCCTGCTTTATTTTCTGGCTGTTGTGGTTATTTATGTCTCTCAGAGGCAAGCATTTCCCAGCTTGTAGTGCAGGAACCTTGAGAATCCCAGCATTCCTGCTTAGAGAAACTTGCTGGGAGGTGGGACTATCGGCATTCAGTGTCGGTCACAGCAGAAGCCTTGGGTCTCCACTCCTGACACACATTAAAAGCAAAAAAATGGTGGCTTACTTCTTTTTTGTTTTTGTTTGTTTGTTTTTGTTTTTGTTTTTAAAATCATTTTACTCTGTTCATAAGTCACATTGAAATGGGCAGAACTGCTTCCATTACAGGCAGACTTATTGTGCAAAGAAAAATAGATGTAGAGCTGAGGAGACCACAATAACACAACAGGGGCTTTGAACTCTCGGACATCAGCGCCAAGGTTTGCAAGTGAGTAGGAACAAAGGCTGCTCGCAGCAGTTGGCTGAGACCATGAATGTTTGCAAGTACCAATGAAACTACTTAAATAGGATCGTAGGACACTCTCACAGAGGAAATGATGTAAGCTGCTGAGCGTGTGGTGCGATCTCATTCAACTGTGACAGGTGGTTGCTGAATTCTGGTGCAGGAGAAATGGTCTCACAGGGCAGGTGTTATCCTACCAGTGTTTGAACATTACCATGAAGGAACTGACAGCTATGAACTGACTGGTTTAGCCAGAGGTGGGGAACAGCTGGCTACACTAAAGAGGAATTATACCAAAGGAGTAGAACTACTGGTGGAACTGGCTTCACTGCAGACTTCCTTTGTTACTCTGGATGAAGCCATCAAGATAACCAACAGGCCTGTGTGTAAATGCCATTGAACATGCTATCATTCCCTGGTGGCTTACTTCTTAACTTGGACAAGTATCTTATAATTTGTTCAAGATAGTGTCAAGGGTTGGAAGAAGCGAAGGAAAGTGGTAAGCCTTTAGATTCTGCCAAAATCAAGATCATACAACAAAGTAAGAATGTCTGAAGGTCTCAAAGCATTCCGAGAGCATGAAGAGCCAACACCCACTCCAGATATTATGAAGTCATTTTGTTGCCGACAGAAGCTCTCCCTGTCTCGTTTAAAGTTTAGGGCCATGAAATCTTCAAGCAAATCCCCTTCAAGGTGATACTTTTATCCTCTATTGACTGTCTTTGTCACTGCCAACAATCCAATTTTCCATGCTGACAATTACTTTATTGGCTACAACCTAGGGAAAGAGTAAGAGCCTGAATGGGGAGGAGCTTACAGGGTGATTTTCCCAACCATTAGAATGGACATTTAAAGCCCATATGTAGAATTTCCCTTTTTTTATACTGTTTTGAAATTTCTTAAAATATTTTCTTTGTCAATAACTATTTGTTATTGGGAAACGCATTTAGGAATCTGGGTTTGACTTAAGAGAAAAGTATTGATTCTCCCTGAGGGAGCCATGATTTGGTTTGAGCTGCGGTAGACACAGTGCTGATATTTTTATATTCACACTCAGGCCCCTGACATTTAGATTTTATTTGACTGCAGAACTGTAAATACAGCGTGAACCAGCTATCACATGGCCCTTAAATGCTGGGACCTAATTAGTTCTCTGCAAACCTAATAGATACACTTGCCCAATGCTCCAACCAATTATCTTTGAGAAAGGAATATGATCTCCTCATCGAAAACTCTATCCGTGAAAGTTTCCACTTAACAACCAGAAAACTTTAAAACTCTCAAAATGATTTGAACAATAAATAGCTCATCCCTCACTCTGAAGGGGAGGAATGGGTTTCAGGGCTAGCTTCAGCCAACTGCTTGTTAACCTCATACCATACCATGTGTCTACCTGCTCTGATAACCAAGCTAATTAAGCCTTGGTGGCAGTCCCACGGCTCCTGCTTTGGCAGCTCATAACTACCTGGCTTCTACTTTGACTCCTGTCAAAGGGTGGAGAAAGAAGCTGGCTTCTCAATTTTGTCTTTTCAGAAAAAGAGAGGATGCTTCACTTCCCAAAAGTACTCAGCAAGCACACTCCTCAGAGTCACTGCTCTCTCCCTGTAAAGGAACTCTGGCCCGGGAATGAGCATGTTGGCGCCTGCACCCTCTACGCAAGCAGGAGTGGGATCCACCCACCTCCATCAGCAATAGGTCTGCCTATGTACAGGAGGAAGAGAGGGCTGTGTAAAACTTAGGACTGATCCTACCAAGAAATAGATGTCAGCTGGGGTGTGGGGAATCACTCCTCTACATACCACTCACTGACTATGGATGGGGAAGCCCAGGAACAATCCAGGTCCTGCCAGTTGTTAGCTACATGGTTTTGAGCAAGGTACTTGATCTCTTATCAAGCAGCAATGGAGTCAACAACTTGCTTAATTGCTTCCATCACAGGACATTTTCTAAAACTCCAGGGCATTAATTAAACATTCATTATACTCTTCCCTGGCATGAGGCACGTGGAAACGATTGAAGAGAACACAGAAATGAGCAAAATGATGTCCTGCTTTGAAAGCCTAGGGAACTCAGAAGAGCAAATGAAAGGTCAGTGGTGGTAGGAGACAGATTTAGTGAGTTTTGTAAATATGTTCCAAAAGATCGGTATAACAGAGGCCCGTCCACATTTCATCTGAAAGAGGGAGGAGACCACGAGGCCACAGTCCTCCTGAGGGACTGCTGCTAGCAATGGTGGCTGGGGAAGGGGGTGTCCCTTTCTTTAGAGCTGCCCAAGTTCTAATAAATCACTTCCCACCCACACTTGTGCAAGCAACCCTAATTAAACTCAGTGGAACACACACATACTCATAGACACACACAGATAGACACACACAGACACACACACACATGCTCACACACACAATGAAAGTAGAGGGAGTCTTGCTGGGAAGAAGGGTTTCAGAGACAGGGAGAGAGGACAAGAACGGATAATGGGGGTGAAAATGACTAAATTCCTTATAAACATGTATGAAACTGTTAATTTTAAAAAAATGTGGTTCCTAAAATAATGATTTACCTAATTAAACGTTCTTTAATAATGAACACATTATGTAAGACTATTTCACATCCAAATGAGGTTGCTATAATTTTTTCCAGATAATCACTCACTAATGAAAATGACAAAAGTAACTATATGAACAATGAAACTACCTAAGAAAATAAGAAAAAAAATCATAAGCCACATCCTAACTACCAAGAGTGCAAAATATTAATAGCCAGAACATGGAAGCAACCTAGATGCCCTTCAACTGAAGAATGGATAAACAAAATGTGGTACATATACACAATGGAATACTACTCAGCAGAGAAAAACAATGACATCATGAGGTTTGCAGACAAATGGATGGATCTAGAAAAAATTATCCTGAGTGAGGTAACCCAGACTCAGAAAGACAAACATGGTATGTACTCACTCATAGGAGGATACTAGATGTGGAACAAGGATGACTGGACTGCTACTCACATCACCAGGGAGGCTACCTGGAAAACAGGACCCCAAGAAAGACACGGGGATCACCCAATGACGGAGAAATGGAATGAGATCTACATGAACAGCCTGGACATGAGTGGGGGTAATGAAGGGCGAGGGCCAAGGGAAAGAGAGCTTGGGGGAGCAGGAGATCCCAGCTGGATCGACAACAGAGAGGGAGAACAAGGAATAGGAGACCATGGTAAATAAAGACCACATGAGAATAGGAAGAAGCAAAGTGCTAGAGAGGCCCACAGAAATCCACAAAGATACCCCCACAATAGACTGCTGGCAATGGTTGAGAGACAGCTCGAACTGACCTACTCTGGTGATGGGATGGCCAAACACCCTAATTGTCGTGCTAGAAACCCCATCTAACGACTGAGGGATCTGGATGCAGAGATCCATGGCTAGGCCCCGGGTAGAGCTCTGGGAGTCCAATTAGCGAGAAAGAGGAGGGTTTATATGAGCGAGAATTGTTGAGACCAAGGTTGGGTAAAGCACAGGGACAAATAGCCAAATGAATGGAAACACATGAACTATGAACCAATGGCTGAGGGGTCCCCAACTGGATCTCACCCTCTGAATGGGTGAGACAGTTGATTGGCTTGATCTGTCTGGGAGGCATCCAAGCAGTGCGACCGGGTCCTGTGCTCATTGCATGAGTTGGCTGTTTGAAACCTGGGGCCTATGCAGGATTGCTTGGCTCGGCCTGGGAGGAGGGGACTGGACCTACCTGGACTGAGTCTACCAGGTTGATCTCAGTCCGCAGGGTAGGCTTTGCCCTGGAGGAGGTGGGAATGGGGGGTGGGCTGGGGGGAAGGTGAGGGGGGCGGGAGGGGGGAGAACAAGGGAATCCGTGGCTGATATGTAGAACTGAATTGTATTGCAAAATAAAAATAAAAAATTTTAAAAAAAAGAGTGCAAAATATGATGTGATCCTAATGCACATCTGCAATCAGGGCCAAAATTCTGACCACGGACAGCATCAAATGCTGTGTCTCAGGGAGGGTTTCTACTGCTGTGATGAAACACCATGACCAAAGCAACACGGGAAGGAAAGGGTTTCTTAGTATTCTGAATCATAGTCCTTTGAGGGAAGGCAAGGCATAAACTCAAACTGGGTAGGAAGTTGAAGGCAGGACTACCCCAGACATCCCTGCAATCTTGCTTGTCCATTTTGTGATCACAGTGGAGCTATGGAGGAGTGCTGCTTACTGGCTTGCTCTTCATGGCTTGCTCCTCATAGTTTGCTTGTGCTTTCTTGTAGCACCCAGGACTACCAGCCCAGGGGTGGCACCACCCATTATGGGCTGTGCCATCCCACATCAATCACCATTTAAGAAAACACCCTTCTAGCTTGCCTATAGCAAGATTGTATGGAGGTAATTTCTCAGTTGAGGTTCCCTCTCCTCAGATGACTAGAGCTTGTGTCAAATTGACATAAAAACTAACTGGCACCCTGGTGAGAAAGAAAAGAAGGGCTCTCCTTAGTGGCTAGTACAGTGCAAATGGCAAAGCCCCTTTGAAAAGCAGTTGACAGTTTCTTATAAAACTAAACCAGCTGTGTGGTGGTGCACGCCTTTAATCCCAGCATTCGGGAGGTAGAGGCAGGTGGCTCTCTATGAGTTTGAGGCCAGCCTGGTCTACAGAGCAAGTTGCAGGACAGCCAGGGCTACACAGAGAAACCTTGTCTTGAAAAAACAAAAATAATGATAACTCCAAACAAAAAAACCCACTAAACCAATTCTTACCATACTCTCCAGCAAGCAAGCATCTTCCTTGGCATTTACTGAGAGGGGTAGAGCAATCACAACTACACAAAAACTGCACACAGATTTTTTATGGCATCTTTATGTATAATCATCAAAACTTGGAAGTAACCAGATGTTCTTCTGTGGGTGAATAGATAGGCTATGGTATAAGCAAGGAATGGAATAATATTCAGCACTAAAATGGGGAAAAAAAAAACCCTGCCAAACCATTTTTTAAAAAATGTAAGAAGTAAAGGCATCTAAGTGAAATAAGCCAACCCAAGAGGTGGAACACTTTTCTAACTGAAAGGTGAAGAGGGAAAAACAGCAGAGACCCTGTCAAGATCAGTGGTCACTGGAGATCCGTGAGGGGAAATGAATAGGCTCAGTGCAGGGAATTGTTAAGGAAGTAAAAATTAACTAGCATAATACTGTAGCGATGGATTTATGTCATTAAGAACTTATCCAGATCCATATAATATACAATATGAAGAGGATCCCCCAGGGTCTAGAAGGATTGCTCAGTGGTTAAGAGTGATTGCTGTGCAATCATGAAGACTAGAGTTCGAATCCCAGCACCCATATACTAAGCCAGGCATCTGGCAAACACCTCTAACAGTAACTCAGGGGAATCCAATGCCTTCTACCTGCACACACGTGTGCATATACCCACAGAGAGATTCTTTCTCTCTCAGCAAACTAATGTAATCTACTGGTTTCAGGTGTAATAACATGTCAATATATGTTCCTCAGTTGTAACAATGTGTCCCTCTGATATAGGATGCTGAAAGTGAGAGGATTATGAGATAAAGGGGATATCTCAGTCTTTGTCACTCAGTTTTGCTGTGATCTTAAAGTACAATTCAGAAAGAGTTCACATATGTGCATATATACATACATATATAGTTAACAGTATATATGTATATTTATATGTGTGTGTATGTGTATGTTACACATACACATACACATACACACACAGAGACACACGTTCCCAGGGCTCCAAATCTTAATAGAGAGAAGCCTAAGTTAGAGTACCCTAGACATGCCTGCAATTCGCCTGTCAGTTTTGAGATCACAGTGAGGTCCCTGGGAATCTGGTGTTCTAAAGCTCTTATCAGGTCACAAAACAAATGTCACTGTGGAAACCTCGGAAATTTCCATTTCCCAGACCACACCCAGGATTCCGCTCTTTCCTGGAGAAAACATTCCCTTGTTTCCAACAAAGTGTGTTCCCTTGAAGCTAAAGTAGCGTTAAAATTTTGCTCTAGGTAAACAAGGCAACCGCCCACCCTCAAAGCGCTTCCATAGCTCTCGCCCCTAGAGGGAGCCATGGCACCTTCTCTGCGGCCCAAACTCTCATCACACCCCGCTCACCCTGCTCACCCCGCCCCGCTCAGCCTGCTTGCTTTCCGAATCTGAGTCCCCAGGAATTTCACACCCCGTTATTTTCACTTGAGGTTTTCTCCATTTAAAACAACACAATCACAGCGAGACAGAAATTCCCCCTGAAAAACCCAAGGACCAAATTATTGTAGACAGAAGGTACAAATTATATTTGCTCCCAAAGAAACCGGGGAAAACACCATCCTTAAATCTTTACAGATACTCATATTATCCCCACATCCATTAAGAAGTGGATTCATTGAGTCCAGGACATGCTAACCCAAATTACACCACACTGCCATGTGGAACATTTTAACCTGAAGGGATGTGAGAAGCAGCATATGCAGAAGGCTCTTCACCCAGAAGGAATATCCTTATCTTTACAGACTCAAAGAAAGAGAAGACTCTTCACAGATGGACCTTGCCAAGTCCCTCAAGTTCATTGCTATTCCATCAGAGGCTCTTTGCTCAGTAACACATCTTAACTGCCGTTCTTCGTCAAACCTACCATATGAGACACGAAGCTTGACTATTTCCTTTGAAGGTTCCAGTGCCACAGGAAACTTCCATTAAATAAACATGCATAATCTTCCCTTCTGAATCCATCCTTTTTTCTGGGACCTGAGGGGTGAACATTGGGTGGGAGGGGGGAGCTACATTTCTTCCCTCTGGATCAAGAACAAATTTCTCAGGGTGGAAGAGAGGCACCACCCATGATCACCTGCAGCCTTTAACATGACGGTGTCACCATGGATCCGACATTTATACTGAGCTGTGTGATTCTGGGGTTCAGAACCCCTGTCCCCGGTATCAGATTAATAACTAAATAAACATTAGCCAAACTGATTTCCATTTTTCCAGAACACTTGTAATATAACCTAGCTTGGATACGAATGAGAAAACAGTGATGAAAAGATAAAAACTGCAGCGCAGAGGTGGGGCCTGGGGCAGATTACAACCAAAACATTATTTCAAGACGCAGGAGTGGCTGGGCAGGGCAGATTCAGAGCTGGCAGAACAAACCGTGCTGTAATCCACTGTCAGCCCTGAAAGGAAAAGTCTGCAGTGGTTGGCAATGTTAAAGCTGGAAAAGACCCATCAGGACCCTCCTGGCTCCACAGATGGGAACAGAAGCCCCCGGGGAAAGGAAGCAAGCCTGCATCCCTTCAACCACTAAGAAGAAAAAGGACGAAACAAGTGAAATCGTGAATGATTTCATCCCCAGAGTAAGCCTCAACTCCCCACATGGGGATGACCACTTTGCCCCTCTGACATCTAGAATAGCCTGGAGTTGTCATAGGAAGGGCTTCTTGAAAATCAAAACTACCCTCAGAATTTACACAAGAGGGTCATGGCTGAATTATGTATGGGCCAAGATGACTTGGTTTACGGTGCACCAGCAGCTAGAGACAAGGAACTGATGAGACCACGCCACTGACACTGTCCATACACATTGTAGTTGGGTGGAGACTTATGGAAGTCTAAACCCCTAGAAAGGACAACTTTCGAGTGGGCCCATTTCCTCATAACTCTCCTTTTTTGGTCTTTTGGGGGCTTTTGTGGTCCATACTTCCCACAATGTCTAGGTGACTAGGGCTACAAGCAGAGAAGATGTTGCTGTGCAGGTGTACACCACGGAGCAGACTCACAGAGAAGGCTAGGATGGCGTCGGGGTTTTTGTTGCTTTGACAAAAACAACATAAACAACTTAGGAGGGAAGGGTTTGTTTTACCTCGTGGTTTCAAAGTTCCCACCCATGTTCCTTGGCTCCACAAGTTCTGGATCCTGCTGAGACAGAGTGTCATGGAAGCAGAAGCATGTCTGTGGCTGGAAGGTTCTCCGCTCCTGCTAGAAAACCAAGAGAAGAAACGGTTGAAGAAGGAAAAGAAGCGACTGGGTGGGCCCTGGCATCTTCAGCAAACAGTAGCACTCCAGAAGAAGGTGAGGAAATACATGAAAAAACCTAAGAAGAGGAAAAAGCTAAAACCCCAGGAGACTCCACAAGACAATGGAATGGAAGAGCCACCTGTCTCTTTGTCTAAAAGTAAGAAAAAGAAAGCTTTTCCCAAGGAAGAGATGGCCAGTGAACCAGAAGAGGCAGCACACGTTACAGAAGCTACTCACTTCATTGTGGAAAGTGAGCAGAGGAAGGACAGGAGAACTAGATAGCTGAGCGGATGCCTCCTGTGACCTATTACTCCAGTTAGGCCCTGTCTCCCAAAGTTTCCACCATTTCTTACATGGTCTAGCAGCTAGGGGACCATTCAACCATGAGCCTGTGGTAGACACGTCACACCCAAATCCTAACTGTGCTAGTTACCTTCAGCTATGAGCTGAACTGAGAGGCTCAGTTGGGTGATTACCTAGACAAGATTGGTTGTGTCTTTGAGATAATGCTTCAATTGATGATTGATGTGGGAGGGCCAAGCCCACTAGGGGTGGCAACATTGCTAAGTATGCCAGTCTGGGCTGTATAAGAAAGCTAGCTGAGGGGTTGGAGAGATGGATCAGCAGGTAAGAGCACTGGCTGCTCTTCCAGGGAACCTAGGTTCAATTCCCAGCACCCAAAATACAGCTCACAACTTTTTGTAACACCAGTTCTGGGGGATCCAATGCCTTCTTCTGGCCTCTGTGAGGGCTGCACACATGGTATACAGTCCTACACACTGGCAAAACACGAAACACATAAAATACAATAAAAAATAAAAAGAAGAATAAATGAAAGACTGTATGCAACCAAATTAGCAGCTGTTATAGGAAAGTGACAGTTTAACCCCTATTTCTTAAAAACAAAGAAAGCGGAAGCAATGGACCAAACAACAAGCCAGTGGGCAGCATTCCCTCGTGTTATTACTCCAGGTTCCTGCCTTGAGTTCATGCCCTGACTGCTCTCAATGATGGATTGTGACCTGAAGTGTAAGGTGAAATAAGCCCTGTCCTCCCTAAATTGCTTTTGGTCATGGTGTTTATTAGAGAAATAGAAAGCCAACTAGGACAATAACAAATGGCATTTGGCAGGTAACAGTCACACCACCAAACTTCCCAGCCACGTCTTTTCTTACATGCTAGTTCAAGTGTATGTGTCAAACAGCTACAAATGCTGTTTGTAAACCATATAACAACCACAAGCTACAAAGTGGTCATTGTTTAGTAAATGCTAGGACAAATTAGCAAGCAGGTCCTGCATCCATCCATATAGTACCCACCATTCGCTCCTACACAGATTAGATATTTACTAGGTGACTCTTAGATGAAACACTGGCTTTGAATATGGGTATAAAAGTGAATGAGTACAGCCCTTCTGTCATGGAACTCTAGGTAGGATGATAGGGTAGGAAACAAATTGCCATGACACAATAAGGAAAACATTCTACAAGAATGGTTTCTGGGCCAAGGGAGAATTTAGATGCAAGGAAATCCTCTCTTATGCATAAGGGTATTCAGTTAGAGTTCTGGTGCCAAAGATGTCCCAGTGTCTCATTTCATAAACTAACAGTCACACAATTTTCTCTCTCTAATGCTCAAAACTCTTAACAACATTAACTCTGAACATCCCTGGTTGGTACTTAATACATTTATTTGTAAAACTCGCTTTTTCTTATCCCTCCCTCATGGGCTACTCCTTTTATCCCACCAAGGCCATTAGTTTATCCTGTTAGCTATAAAAATATGCCCTTGCAAATTAGCAAGCTTATATATTACAGCCCAAAATAGATTTCTTTGTATGCTCAGGGCCCTTGAAATAGTTCATTTGTTCTCTGGTTAACAGAAGTACTTTAAAGATGCTAAAATATTTTTTTCTAAGCTTGACCATGGTGTGTGTGTGTGTGTGTGTGTGTGTGTGTGTGTGTGTGTGTGTGTGTGTGTTACACATGCCTGCAGTTGTAAATACATGTATGTGCACATGGAGGCTGGAAGACAACCTTATCACCCTCAGAATATCATTCACCTCTCTCATTGGCCTGGAATTCAACAATTAGGTTAGACTAGCAGGTGCGCTAACCCCGGTGATCCTCCTGTCTCCACCTTCCCAGGGCTGAGTTGACAAGTAGCAGCATACCCAACATTTTTATGTGGATTCTGGGAAGGGACCTCAGATCCTCATGCTGGCAAGCTGAACCCTGTACAAGCCTGACAATTTTAAAACATATTGGGAACCTGAGGTAACTTGGGGCAATTTCCCTCTTTGTACACAAAGAAACTGTGACCTGTACTAGTTAAAAGACCCATGCCCACAAAACTATGTTTAAGAAACAGATGCTGTCCCTAAATAGTGTAGTCACCAATGGGACTCAGTTACATTCACTGAGGACAACTCCTTCCTACATCCCTCCTGCCATAATCCTTGGGAACTTTGATGTCCTTACTGGCAACAACTTCAGTTCTGTAGTCTGCCTGTCTCTGTCTTTTTTGCCACAATAGTCTCATCTTCTAGCTCATCTCAGTCATGTGCCACCATGGTCAGACCTAGCCCCATCATTTCCAACAAAGATATTGCATTCAAATTCCCCAGTTCAAGAACCTTCTCTTACCACTGGATCACCTCTGCCTGCAACCTCACTGTCTTCGGGGTCAGCTCAAATCCCATGGTCAACATTACAAACATGCCTTTGCGGACAAGCTCAATGCCAATGTCGCCTTTCCTTTAGTCATAACCGCCTAATAAAACTCCAACTTCACCCACATCTGACTTTCTCTGCCCACTCACTCCTCAGCCACACCTGTGCAACTGAATGTGGTTAGGTAAAAACATCATCGTGCGGGATGATCTTCCTTTAAAATCCAGACCACAAGCTCCAAGCAGACCCTGGTGCTACTGCCCATCCCTGGGGACTTGTATCACCTCCACTCTTCTGAAAACCTTGCCATGTCTGTTCTTTTTTTTTTTTTCTCAAACCTCCCAAATCCTGTCCCTTCTTCAATGTCAGCTAATCACTTTTGTATTTCATAAAAAAAAAGTCACCAATGAATTTATTAACTTTTACACTTGTAGATATATACCCCGTCTTCCATTTTGTAACAGTGAACTTGTCTTTGTATATTAGGCTCCACCCCCTTACTCACACCACAATTTCAATTCCCTCACTGTTTCCACAGTCTCCTACATTATCAGCTTTTCTACATTAGCAACTTTTCGATCTCTACTGGATCATTTCCACCAGTGTTTTTTCATGCCCTCATCTTAAAATGTCTCTGTTGACCTCATGTCTTCCAGCAGGTACATCCCTGCTCTTTGCTTGCATTACAATAACGATCAATTTTTAGCTCCTTTCTCATGTCTTGGCATGCTCTTACCATTCCCTCTGTGTCAGTTACTTTGGGCACTGCTGTGACAAAATACTTAGCAAATGAAGGGAAGGAGGGTTTATTTTGGCTTATGGTTCAAGGGGACTCAGCCCATCATGACGGTAAAGGCAGAATGGCAGGTAGTCACATTGCACTTGCAGTAAAAAAGCAGGGACCAGACAGGAAGTGGGGCTGGGCTATTGTACTGCAAGGCATGCCCCCAGTAATCCACTTCCTTTGGTGGCTGTCCACTTCCTAAAAGGTCTACAGCCTTCCAAAACAGCACTACCAGATGGAGAGCAAGTGTTGACATGCATGAGCCTCCAGGGTATAAGTCACATGCAAACCACATCGCTTTCTTTCTTTGAACATTTCCCCTGATGTCTGACACATTTTGGTGTTCTCTCCCTTCATCCCGTCTATTCTGTTTCAGTCTCTTTGGTGAGTTCTCTTCCTTGCAAGTTTACAATGCCATGTCCAGGGTTCAGTTCTCAGATGTCTTCCCTACCTACCATTTCTTTGATGACCTCAGTCTATTGGCTTTGGGGGAGACTAGAATAAACTCCTTCAAATATGTTTCTTTAATATTAGGATTGAAGATAATGAAGGAGAAACAGGTACAGGGAAGCTCTCTGCACCTCCTCTTTTTCTAAAAGCAAGAAGTAGATTCATAAAGACAGGCTTGGCTGCATAGTGAGTTTAGACTATACTCAGGCTACAGGTGACACAGACTTTCTCTCTCTCTCTCTCTCTCTCTCTCTCTCTCTCTGTGTGTGTGTGTGTGTGTGTGTATGTGTGTGTGTGTGTGTGTGTATGTATGTGTGTGTGTGTGTGTGTGTGTGTGTGTGTGTGTGTGTGTGTGTTTTCATGGAGACCAGAGGAAAACCAGAAGTGTTATTCTGCAGGCACTGTCTACCCTGTTTTATGAGACAGAGTCTCTCACTGGGACCTGTGGCTTGTCAATTAGACTAGTAGGTTGGCTGGCCAGTGAGCCCCAGATAGTCATTTGTGTCTACTTGCCTAACACCGCCCAAATGCCTGGTTTTCTCAGTGGGTGCAAGGGATCCAGTTCCAGTCCACATGCTAATGTAGCAAGCACTTTTAAGGCCCCCTGAGCCATCTCCGTACTCCCAAACTCAAAGCATTCTTAATTCATTCCATTTTCTTGCTGCCTTTCACATCCAATCATAATTTTAATGACTCTCCATGCTGGGTATAAAACCCAGAAGCTTGTCCATATTTGTGCCTCCCAAAGACTGAGATTATAGGTATGCACCACCATGCCTGCCTTATTGACCGTGCTTTAAAAACATTTGTAGAATTCTATACTTCCCACAACCTGTAACCCTACTCCATGATAGGAATTATCTCTTAACCACCATTTCCACTCTGCCTCCCACATTCTTGCTCTCCATGGAAGGAACAGACCAGGACATATAAAATGGCTGCATTATGTCACACCTGCAGTGAGACCCTTTCAACACTTCCCATATCCCTCGGAGTGGAACTGAACATCTGGTCTGGTCCTCTTAGACTCTGACCCACACTCTTTGAATCTTCATCAGACTCCTTTTTGTTCTTTGGGTTGACCAAGCATACTCCTATTTCAGGGTCTTTGCTCTCGTGTTTCGTTTGTTTGTTTATTTGTTTGTTTCTTTCTGTTGCTTGAACAGCCTCTTTCCTCCAGACAGCTGTATGTACTGCTTTCTCATCTCATACAGGGCCTTGCTTGAATGTCATCTTTTCAAAGTAGCTTTCCTTGAGTACTCATCCCCTTCTGTAAAACAATCCATTCCCACACTGGTAATTTACACAGCAATTTACTCTCAGCTATTATGGTCCAGAAATGGGGAAGTCAGCCTGGAAGGCACTTGCTTTTGAGCCTTTTATAGGGTTGAAGTGAAATAGAGGCCCAAGCTGGAATCATCTGCTTCATTCAGATGTCTGGCATCTCCCCAGACACTAATCCGAGCTACAATAGGGTGGTAACAAAGTGGTCAGATTTCCTGCATGGTGGCTGCTACCTACAGAGCAAATGTTGCATTCCGAGAAGCAGTAAGGGGGAAGCTCCTAGTCCTGAGAAACAAGCCCTATGTCATTTCTGCTACAATCAATTGACCTAAGCAGATACATAGAACCTATTCCCCAAAACCCAGAGATTTGAAAAGAGATAGCAGAACCCATTTGATCAGGGAAGTGTGGGGAAGTGTCCAGCTATGTGCAAGCTAGCCCCCCAAACGGCTTTAGTGATCCTTGCCTCCTAGCACTGTCCTTACCCAGTCTCCTCCTCATAAAGCTCAACTGCCCTGTGAGGGCAACAGATATTGAATATGTAACAATGCATCATTTAGGAGCCAAGGCCATCGAAGACATGTGTTCCCTTGAGTCACCTTCTCTGAGGTAAGTAAGTTGCCATGTCATGAGGCCATGTAAGCCTCTCTCTGCACAGTCCCTACAGAGAGACAGGCCCTGTGGCTTCCTGCCAGCAGCCAGCACCAACTTGCCAATTCACACATTATAAAGAGTTGAGCTATTTGGTGTCTCAGCCAATATTGCACACTTTCAAGAGGCTCTGAGCCAGACCCACACAGCCAAGGTGACCTGCAACTAATTCCTTCCCCATGGAGCCCACGTGAGATAATAAATGCATGTTGTTACAAGTTTAAGAGATATTATCTTATGCAGCAATAATTTGCTAGCATGCCGTGCTATCTAAACTAGCCCACTCACTATCACATTTATCATCTGATAGAGTCTGTATTTTATTTGTCTGTCCCCTCTCTCCCCTAGAAACTAAAATTCAAGAGCTAAGCAGTTATGCATGGTTTTTCTCAATACTGATAGCTGTGCCAGATATATCCAAGACCCCGATAGTCTTTACTGAGTACATTAACTATATATCACCTATTCATTCTTTTTACCATCAACATATGCTTTTTTGTGGCTATTTGCACCAGTATTGTATTACTCCAGTGATAAAATATTCACTTTTCAACAAACATAAATTGGGTATCTACTCAATACAATTTTGATAACTGAGATTTCTTGAATGTCTGCCATAACAGGATGTCTAAGATACAACCGTTCATTTCTTCTCTTGCTTCAGCCATGTGCCAGTTGCTTTCTGGAGCTCAGTGCTGCCTGAGGTGAGTCTGCCTAGCCCACAAGAGAGATTCAAGTAGAAATGTGAAGTGGGCAACTGGAGCTCAGGGCAGAGGTCTTGGGGATGAGGCCGGGACTTTGTGAGAATGTAGATGATAATTAAAGCCATCTGGCTATATTCCCCAGGAGGGAGCAGAATTGGGGAAGAGAAAATGTCTGGTGGAGATTTAATGGGACACTGCCACCTTCAGCAACTTCAAGGATGAGCACAGACAAAGGAGACCACAAAGGAACCAAGAGAGGGAAAACCAGGAGTCTGTGGAGTCCTGTAAACAGGGAGAAGAATGACACGTGGTCATCTGTGTCCAGTGCTACTGAGACATCAAGCTAATACAGACAGGGGACTGGGGGTAAGGCTGGCGATTGGAAGTGAGCCGTAGTGACCTGGTGGAGGAGGGATTAAGAGCACATGTGGAAGGAGGAAACAATGTTTGCTTCCCGGTGGTTTTAATAGAGTAGAGAAGAACTTGATGATTTGTAAGAAGAGGCAGCGAGAGATGGGGAGAAGTTGGTTAAGAAGGAAAAAGAGTATCTTCAGGGCCTGGAGAGATGGCTCAGAGGTTAAGAGCGCTGGCTGCTCTTCCAGAGGTCCTGAGTTCAATTCCCAGCAACCACATGGTGGCTCACAACCATCTACCGTGAGATCTGGCGCCCTCTTCTGGCATGCAGGCATACATGCAGGCAGAACACTGTATACATAATAAATAAATCTTTTTAAAAAAATAAATACATTTTGTGGGGGGGGGGGGGGGCAAGTCGCGGCGGTGAGAAGGGGATAAGAGAGTGGGGGGATCGGCGTGATTGGGATATGTTCTATACATGCATGAAATTGTCAATGAGTACATTAAAATAAAAGTTTGAAGGAAAAGAGCAAGGATAACGGGTGGCAGGGACACTGGTGCAAGAGGAAAACAGAGAAAGTCTCTGTGGGCCTCCGTCTCCTCCGTAAAATGCGATATAGTCACCAGCTGGGAGAGAGACAAGACATTAGATGAAGTGGGAAGAAGCATGGAGGGGCTGGGAAGTAAATCGACCAAATAACGAGAGTAGCTATCACCTAAGCTCTAAGGCGTGACACTAGGTCAGGGGATTTAACAATCTCCAGCCATGTCCTGCTACGGTGGAGGAAGAGTTGAGCTTTTCACTAAGTGAATTTGGCTGGGTAGGAGGAGGACGTTGCAATTGATGTGTGCGTAATGGATCATAAAGGAGAGAGGGAAGGCAGTCTTTGAGGCCTCTATGCTGTCAAGGAATTGCTGGAGGTAAAAATCCAAGTCAACTGAGTAAGAAGGGTAAAGGATGACTGCTAGAGACCCACATGAGGCTAGGAGAGGAAAGGACTGCTCTCTAGCTGAATGCAAAGAAGAGGCCAGAAGATGAGGGTATATGGGTACCCTGCATCCTGTACTTCCAGGATACTTGAAATAAGAAAGGCATTGTAGATATTGGGGTGCTCAGATGCTCTTTCAGGAGCCTTCTGTGAATTGATAGTATTGAGAGCTCTGAACTGAGTCCCTTTCCAGTGACTGCTTGTAGCTGAAGGAGCCATCTTACTTAATGTTTAATGGACAACCCTTTCTATCCGCAGCCTGATCGGTGGCTCGTCACTATGGTTGTCTGTCTCCTCAGCCAACCTTCCTGGCAGTCACTCTGAAGGATCATCAAAACCTCAAGACTCTTCCTAGCATTGCAGGATCTATTGCTATTCTTACGGGTACTGCACTTGCTCAGCTCCATTCTCTTGCCTCGACCACTAGTGAAGTTGAAAGCACCCACCAGTGGGCCGCCAATGCTCGAATCTCCCCAGGGACTTCAATCTGTGAGATCAAGGTTGTAGCAACAAATGAGATTGATTCTGAGGCTTTCAAAGCAGTCTGTGAGCTGGAGACTGTGTGGTGGGACAGGGAAGGTGAAGAGGTGACATCTCTCCAGGAATCTTTTTCATCCTCAGAACTGCCGAACTGGACTCATGGTTAGGGCTCATATTGTTCAACAAACTCTGGTGAGAAAAGAGAAAAGTTAGTTGGTCTACCTGATAATGAATATTAAAAAAAAAAAACCTGCATAGGCACAGTAATGTAACACATTTCTTTTTGGTCTTTGGTTTGTTTTTCTGAACCTCTCTAGTCAGGCTCAACCCTCCCAGAAATCCCACAAGAGGATTTCGTCCCTGTGTCTGTCCTTGTAGCTTACTTGCCAAATAAAACATGAATGACAAGGATATATACTACTTAAAAGGAATTTTAGTTTTTTAATGATTTATTCATTTTTATGTGCATGGGTGTTTCGCCTACATGTATGTATGTCCATCATGTGTGTGCAGTACCAGGGGATGCCAGAAGAGGGCATCAGATCCCCTAGAGATGGAGTTACTGACAGGTGTGAGCTATCATGTGGGTTCTGGGAACCATACCTTTGTCCTCTGGAAGAGCAGCCAGTGATCTTACCCACAGAGCCTGCTCTCCAACTCCAAGTAAGAATTTTAAAAGCCAGCACTATGGTGGTTCTGCTATCTCTTTTACTTCTTTCCTAAATCAACACCATTTCAGAGGGAGACTGCTTGTGAAAACTGACTCTCAAAGATCATGTTATGAATGGGCAATAACCCTTAGAGGTAAGCCACTGAGGGTTTTCAGTTACGTAGTACTACAGAATAATTTGGCCTCAGTACACTGAATCAGTCACCCAGGTACTCAAGATGGCCACTGAAGTACAAAAGATGCAAACCAATGTGTAAAAGAATGACCATGGGTGTGTTCCAAGAAAACTTTATTTTAAAAAAAAAGAGCCGGGCGGTGGTGGCGGCAGCGCACGCCTTTAATCCCAGCACTCAGGAGGCAGAGCCAGGCGGATCTCCGTGAGTTCGAGGCCAGCCTGGGCTACCAAGTGAGTTCCACGAAAGGTGCAAAGCTACACAGAGAAACCCTGTCTCGAAAAACCAAAAAAAAAAAAAAAGAGTATCAGATAACTGAATAACCCCTGTAAATAAAATATTTTTTTAAAAAATAGCCATTTGCTAAAACTTCTGTTGGCAATTGCATAAGATCACATCTTTGTTAATTTTGCTTACCTACTTCAGTGAATTTTGTATTAAAAAATGACCAAGAATGAACTGTCTTGTGTTAATTCCCAGATCCCATTTATTTGAGTAAAGCTTAAGTAGGTGAAAGGGTGGCATGGTTATTAGTTCTTAGAGAGGGGAGGAAAAAAACTAGAAATGACATCTTGCTGCACAAAGCACTCAAGAGCAATTTAGGTGATAAGAGAATCAGAGGTGGAAGACATCAAAGGCAGAATTGGAAAGGGATAAAGAGAAGAGGAAACATAAGAAACAGAATACGTATGTGGGAGAAATTGACTGATGTCTGTCGGCCGCCCGCTCTTTGCAACACCAAGACTGGGAACCAAGCTTGTTCCTCTACTGCCACCTTCAGCCCTTGCAGGAGCCTGACTGCCTTCGTGCAGTTTGCAGTCGTGAGTTTAAATTGTCCAGCTTGCAACCCCTCCGAGAGCTATTCCTGCTTTTCATTTTAGCCGCATCCTGCTGGAATCCACAGAAGTTTAAGAATAGCAGGACTTGCGGAAATGATCTTGACAGATGAAAGATGAGATTAAAGACTCAGAACACTTTGGGGAGACATGGATGTTGGCAGTGAGGAAACAGCAAGCAGAGCAGGGGTCGGGGATCTGACGACAGAGGTATCTTGGAGATGGATCAATGTTCTGTCAGGTACAAACTGCATTTGCACCACAAGCAGCTAGACAACTCCACAAAGTGTGGGGTAGATTGCCAGGCTTTACCAATTAGGACTGGGATCTGGAGGTGTGGCATGCAAGCCAAGTTACAGAAGGGCCAAACCTCTGGGTAGAGCTAGGCTAGAGAAGCAAGATCTGACTGACCCTTGCATTTACCAAGCATGGACAGGGACTTGGCAATAAGATCACCGAGCCTTAACCTTGGCACACATTAGACAGATCCACTCTCTCTGCATTGCACACACACACACCTATCGAACATCTGTATTCACTGAGAGCCAGAAATGTCTCTCATTATTGTAAACATAACATTTATCAAACCAGCTCCTAAGAATGGATACTCAATGGATCCATGTTAAACTGAATTATTTCCTTTTGTTGTCAAAAGGCAGAATTTTCACAGTACAAGTAATTGCCAATTTACTGAATGAAGATCAAGAACCCACCATCTCTGAGACACTTAGAGAGCCTTCTGTTGGCTATGCTTCTCACCTAAAGACATCCTTCTTCACTTCAGTGTACTGTTCGAATTCTTCTACTCACCTAGACTCCAAGGAAATGGTCAAAGATTTGTGCTAATGACTAGGATGGTAGGTACCTTTGGTTACACACTGACCCCAAACTGGAGACAATAAGTCTTCCCTAGTTGCTATGTTTGTTGTGAGGCTAAATAGGAAAATTCAGTGGCATCTACTCCTGGCAGGACATCCCTGGTCCATCAGTGGGTGACAGAAGACCCATTAGTCCAGGTGTCACTTATGATATATAACATCTAAATCATTCAGAAAATGAAATGCCTTCCCTTGTGAAAATAACACTGCATAAGGTAAGTACAGTGCTTTTACCAAGCTAAGCCACAGTATAACACAACCAAGTCACTAAGATAAGGAAAACAAGAAAAATTAATGGCATGATGCACATCAAGAAATAGCCACATTTTCCCTGTCCCTAAGCAAAGGATACCCGAAAGTTTTCCTTTTGGGGTTAAAAAGATTCACTTAATAAACACATATGTGAATCCTTTATTACTAGGATTAGAAGTCACCTCTTCCAGAAACCCCTGCCTGACCCTCTTCTTCATGCTCTCTAGGTCAGATGTGTACCCTTCTCTGGCCACATTCTCATCATATGGCAGTGAACAACACTGGCCCCTTTGCCTCCTACATCAGTCGGTGACTTCCTCCAGAGAAGGAATGACTTCCTTTCCTCTTTTCTCCCTTTCTTCTTTCCTTCCTTTTCTGAGGACTTCACCCAAGATACTGTGAATTCTAGGATTCTATCTTTGAACTACATTCCCAACCCTAAAGTTTTTGAGACAGTCGGGCTATAGGACCCAATTTGACCTTTAACTCTTGGTATTGGCCCTCCTACTTCAATTTCCAGAATCGTAGGATTATAGACCTGTGACACTATGCCCAGCAGGAACTGTTTATTAATTATTTTTACATTTATGTTTATGTGAGTCCATACACACATATTGGTGACACAGGGTGGGTGTGTATATAAGTCAGAGAACAACTTGTAGAAGATGGTTCTTTCCTTCCTACATGTGGGTCCCAGAGATCAAACTCATGTCAACAGGCTTAGCAAAATTGCCTTTGCTCACCGAGACATTGCCATGGGTCCAGGAACAATTTCTTAACTGCCTATCTCTTTAATCCAATCATTTAGGAGACTCTAAGTGGTTTTGTTTTTGGGATTTGGGTGGGGAGTTTTGGTTTTTTGGGGGGTTATTTTGTTTTTTGAAATTCACTGTGTAATAGCCCTGTCTGTACTGGAACCCACTCTGTGGACCAGACTGGTCTCAAACTCATAGAAATCCACCTGCCTCTGCCTCCCAAGTGCTATGATTAAAGGTATGCACCACCATGCCCAGCTTTTCTACACTTTTTTTGTGACTCTAAGTATTTTTAAATTAATTATTCATTCATTGATAGAGTTATAGAAATCACAAATTCAATTCTAGGAAACATGGTAATGTCTCAACTCTTCTATTCAGTTCAACCATGGGGAAAAACATGTTGTTTTCATTGCACTTGGCTGTGGGCCCTGTAGACACCCTGGTCACTGTGAGAAATGTCAGATGCTACAGAATGCATCGATAGATATCTGCCTTTGTCTTGGTCTGTGTTGTTATTGCTGTAACAGCATAGCCTAATGAGGTGGTTAATCTGGATTGTCAACTTAATGGGATTTATACTCACTGTAGAAACAAACCTCTGAACATGTCTGTGAGGGAGTTTCTAGATTGGATTAGTTAAGGAAGACCCGCCCTAAATATGGGTGGCACCAACCCATGGGCTGAGGTTCTGGGCTGAGGTTCTGGGCTGAATAAAAAGAAGAACGGGAGCTAAACACTGGCTTTCCTCATTCCCTGCTGTCTGATTAAAGATACAGAGCAACTGTTGCCTCGAGTTCCTGCTGCCTTGTCTTCCCCACCGTGGTGGTAGACTATGTCACCTCAAACTGTGAGCAAAAATAAGCCCCTCCTCCCTTAAGTTGCTTCTTGCTGGCTATTTGGTTACAGAAACAAGACAAGCAACTAAGACACCCACTATCTGTTTGGCTTTTTGTTAACTTGATACCAACTAGAGTCATTTGGGAAGAAGGACTTTCAACTGAGAAAATGCCTCCGTAAGACTGGACTATAAGCAAGCCTGTTGGACATTCCCTTGATTATCGATTGATGTGGGAAGGCTGGGCCCACTGGGGACAGTGCCCCCTCCCCACCTGGGGCAGGCAGTTCTAGATCGTATAAGAAAGGTCTGAGCAAGCCATGAGGAGCAAGCCAATAAGCCTCATTCCTCCGTGGCCTCTGCTTCAGGTCCTGCCTCCAGGTTCCTGCCTTGAGCTCCTCTCCATGATAGAGAGTGACTTAAGAATGAAGATGAAATAAACTCTTTACTCCCTCCAAGTTGCTTTTGGCCATGGTGCTTTATCACAGCAATGGAAACCCTGACAAGACACTACACTACGTAACTGTAAAGAAGAGCTGTTTCTCTTACAGTTCTAGGGTAGTCTGTGGGTGCCTTTCCCCTGCATCACAGGAGAGCACAGGATGTTATTCATCAACTCTTTCATCACCACGACCAAGCACCTGAATATACAATGTAAAAGAGTGAAAGAGAAAGGATCCACTTTGGATCATGGTTGCTGAACTTTCGGTCTACCTGCTGGCTAGGATATGGTACAACAGGGATTGTCATATGGCGGCCAAACAATAGAGAAAGCCTTGTGTTTTCTGCCTTCTTTCTCTT